TTTTTTCGAGACAGGTTCTCAATACACAGCTCAGACTTGTAGTGATCCTCCTGTCTCAGCCTCCCCACTGTTGGGATTACAAGTGTGTGCTACCACGCTCAGCGGAGCTGGCACAGTGTGCCTAAGGTTCCAGGGCCAGCAGGGCATGCTGTATCAGGGATTGAACATGGGACCTTGTGCTTGTGCGGCAGGCACTTATGCCACCAAGCTGTCTCCCAGCCCAGAGACTTTTACTTTGTGATGAGAGTATCAGTATTTAATGAATGAGTCTATCATTTCCTCCTAGTATGAACAACTAAACCATTAAGATTTCAGGATATTGGGTAATGGAAGACTCTGAGGTCAGCTAAGTGAGGGGTTTCCATCATCCTTGTCTTCACTGATTGAAAGCTTCCTGCAGTTCTCCATCACATATTTCATCTTACGGTGCTACATAAGTCCAGATCTGTGGTATCCAAACCCATAACCTTGGAAGATAAATAAATTGCACTATGTACTGTGGACAATGAAGACATTTGAAAAGATGAGTGCACCAAGCATAGCCAACGTTAGCTGGTCATTCATAGCACCTGGTCTTTTCCTCTCTATGCAGTACACTGGTGGTCACTTAAGGGAATTTATGAATTCAGTAGAAGTGTTACTTTTACCTGACAAAAACAAAATGACTTATTTTTAAAAGGAAAAACTATGTGGAACAAGAACTAAGCATTCTCAGCTTACCAATTATACTACAGTAGTCTAATGCCTTGGATTGACTGGTGACTAAATAGAATACGCCAAGATTTGAGCTGGCTACTCCAGGGATCGAAAATCAGACCATCTTCATTTGAAGTTGTTTTCCAAACATGGACAGACTGAATAGCACTAAGTGTCTATTGAATTTACAGTGAGAACAGAGCCTATGAGTTGTTACTTCTATTAAGATTTTCTTAAAATTTCCTAGCAACCAAATTGCTACAGAATGATCCTCATGAGAACACAGGATGTAGTAACTGAACAAAATCCAGTTAATGGGTGCTACTAAATTGTTGAAACTGCCGATCCTATGGCAAAAATTCAAAGTAAATGTCTTGTACCATCTGGATGTGTGTTTTGACAAGAGGAGATAATCCCTTTTTCCCTAACTAAGGGGAAGAAAAAAGCCCTAAATAACTACAGATTCCAGGTGTCAGTACTGCTTTAAATAAGTGAGCCAATTGCTAAGTCAAAGCACATTCTACTGAGATGTGAGAGTTTGAACTGCTCCTCATAATTCTTTGGCACTGGATTTGATCTGAGCAGAGAACTATGCTTTGAGAACCATTTTCACAGCTGTTAGAAAACCTGTGCTTCTGAATTTTAGAAACATAAGAGGCAATATTTCCACCTCTGGGTTTTTAAAAACATTTACTGAGTGTCAGTAAATTGATGGGGACCAGACACACTCAGGAATGGAGCCTGCAGGTCCTCCAGTATTGACATAGGTTTGTCATGATCCCTGGGGGTAGCTGGGCAAATGAACAAATTGGGAGAGTGTGTGGTCAGATGTCAAACTTAATTCCCAAGTTGTGCAAGTCCAGAGATTGCTTTGTGGTTTTGGAAATTGGATTTGCCGGTAAGTGCCCGGTCCCAACAGCTGCCCACACAGTCTGTGGAGTGCCAGGACAAATGAGCTGTGCTTCACTTCAGCTGAGTCACTGCAGAGGGCAAAGCCTACCTATTAGAGATGGCATCACTGTCCATTAGGTACTGACCTGAAATTCAGGGAAACACAGCTCCACTGCAGCACCCAGAGTGGTGAGACAGCCACTTAGCCGGCCCTGGTACATAGGGCACAGGAGAGGCACAGGAGTGTGTCCTGTCATCTAAGGTTCCCAAGGCCACCACCAAAAGTCTCTAGAAATGTTACTTCAGGCTCTGAAACTGACCCTGAAAACTATACCCTGCAGGGCTGGGGAGATAGCTCAGTAGAATAAATGCTTGTCTGGTAAGCGCAAGGTCCTGAGTTCAATCCCCGGTACCACAAAAAAAAAAAAAAGAAAGAAAGAAAGAAAGAAAACTATACCCTTCTATGTGTGCCCAATTGCAAGGACCACCTCACCTCTCACTTGGAGGTCCAGCTCTTGCTGCACCCATGTCCTGGGATGGAAACTGGGGAGCCAGAGACCCAGATAGCTTTTGGTGGAGACACTAAATTGTACTAGAGATGAAAACCAGAAAAACATGCTTTCAAGTTTTCTTTAATGAGGTGCACCACAATCTCTAGTTGAATTATCATGTGCCCCTTCAGGCACAAATATTTATTCTTTTTAAGATTTAGTAATCCCCAAGTAAAGAAACTGCATATTCTGATCATACCAGGTATGCTGGCTGCAGCCAAGGGGTTCTTCAGTTGCTTCATTTGCTTATAAAGCAGGTAATCCTCTTCTTGTCTTTTTTTTTTCTCCATGAGCCTTGTACAGGTGACATTAATGGCCGGTTTGGGTTTCTGATTCTTGAAGAACACATGAGCAGAACATTTCCCCAAACGCTCCTCCTCACCTTCCTTAAGTAAAGAATATTGAATTAAATAGGATGGTTCCCATGCATAGCCACACACACACACACACACACACACACACACACACGATGGAGACAATGTCATTGTGTGTGGCAGCGTGCTCTATCATTAATATAATTCTTGCTTTATAGAAAGTGACTTTTGTGCTCACACCTGAATGGAACAGTCCTTTATTCTTTTCATCAATTAAACTCTTTTCTTCTGGATGTGCCTTTATATATCAGCAGTATTTATTTAAGTACTGTCTGGCCCAACACCCCAAGATGGAGGGTACTTCAGTCTCTACTGTGGGCCAGCACAATGCTTAGTTGAATGTTATGGTAACTAACTTAAAAGAGGAAGCTGGCATCAGTGGATATCTATACCATATTTCTGCCATCTCAATAAGTAACTAAGATACTTAAGTTCTAAGAGGAGCCTTCTCCGTGGCTCACAGCTTCGTAGTGGTAAGCTGAGCTCTGAGCTCACTTACGTCTGGGCTCAGCTCTTCACTCCTCACTAACTCACCCTCTCTGCTTTGCAATCAAGTCTAACAGTGGAGACACAGCTCATCCAAAGGGACTCATTCACCAACGTGAGAGACGCCTGTCTACATTCATGGTTAAATGAAGATGTATTTGGAATTCTGAGGTTACCATCACTTATTTCCAATGAAGAAGCAGCTTCAGCTAAACATGTATGACTCATTTCTAGGATAGTGGTTCTTTACCCATTTGATCATAGATTCCTCAAGTCAACAACTAAAGCCAGGGCATTTATTCCTAGAAAAGTGCTCTTGTTTGTCCCATCGAGTAGTGCTCTTGAACATGAAGGAGTTTGTGGGCCAGTAGTCGTGGCCCCATCCAAGCCCAGCCACAGGCCCCGAGTTAGTATTTCCTGTTAAAATGTGATTGGATCCTTGCTCCTCTAGGTACTGCCAGTTGAGACAACAACTTTCTTTTCACTTTGGTAGTTGTTCAATGGGTGGAGTGCCAATTAAAACCATCAGAAATGAAGGGGTTGGGAAGATGGCTCAGTAGAATAAGTGCTTCCCTGGCAAGCACAAGGGTCTGAGTTCAATCCCTGGTTCCGCAAAAAAAAAAAAAAAATCAGAAATGAAAATGCCCACAAGGAAACAGATTATAATCAAAGTTGCACGTGCTTAATAAGCCTTTTTCTATGACTAACTCAAAAAACTGATGTAGGCTTTCCAGTGGAGAACTTTCCCATCTGTGAGAGCCAGTTCTGAGTGAATGGGAAATGCAGAGTACTTCAGGATACTAACTTTTGATACAAGACAGAAAAGAAGGTGGAAGGGGTTTCCAGGAAGAGGCACGTCAATAGGCATAAGACAGGGTGCTTGCATTCTCTTTTGATGTCAGTCATTTCCGAGGAAGACAAAAAGAACCAGGTACAGTATTACTCCCTTTTGTCTTGCATTCCACCCCTGCCCCCAACAGTTCCACAGAAACAAAGCAGCTGCCTGAAGATAAAAGAACCTTCCTTCACCTCCTGAAATGGAACACTTCAATTAGCCAGCTGTGCTCTTAATGTACCTATAGGAGCAAATCCAGAGGAACATATCATAGGTTGAAGTAAACTGATAATTATTTCCCTTTTAGCTTTAATGCTTTTTTTCAGTTTGCAACACTAGAGATCAAAGACATCTTCCTTATCCTCTAAAAATGTTTGAACACTTAGTTTAATAAACCCAGTTGGAGTACAGTTGTCAAGCTAGAACTTGTTGCTGTATGCTTGAAAGCATTCTTCCAGAAGTACGGGCTGGGGTATGCTGCCTTTGCCTCTACAGCTCTGCCTCCCTGAGATCCTTTGATGCTGGGCACTTCCCAGTCTTCCCCAGCTGCCTGGACTCTGAACACAGAAAATCTGGCTGGTCCCCCTACCCCTGCTCTGATTGTAACCTTCCACCTCCCAGCCTCGCCCAGAATTTGGAAGCTCATGTGGCTCTAATTGCTGCACATGTTTTCTATTTACTCCCTTCTTAAAAACAGAGTAAAGCAAAGTTGGCAAAATATGGTGGGAACGGCAATGAGGCTAATAATGCCCACCACAGGCATGGTACAGCTCTGCATTTGCAGATACCTCTATCTATGTAAGCTCGTGGGACTGGCCTCATGCAAGACCAGCGAACCAGAAATGCCATGAGCTGACAGGAAAGAACAAGTTGGCATTTGAGAGTGAGTCATTCTAAGAACTCAGAAGTGCTAGGATACCAAAGGGAACTGTTAAATTCTCTCCCAAGGGCCCTAAAAAAAGGGAGATGACTCTTATTTGATGGTTTTAAATACAACTGCTTAAGGCTGTGAAGTTGAAGTAGCTGACTCTTGATTTTCAGCCTGCTTTGATTTTCAGTTCTTAGAACAAACAGAAAACAAAGCAGGAAAATTACAATAAAACCTCCAGGCTTTATTAAGATTCTCACTTTGTTTAAGTCTATTCATAGGACTTGCTAAGAGAATACTTCAGTAATTGTTGTGGCTTACCTCCTGGTTGTAGCGTTCTGTGCTAAAGACCAGGTCAACTTTACATCCCCTTTTTGGATCAACCTGAAATATAAAAACTGAAGCTTAGTACTTTGGAAGCTCCATTAATCATTGACATCCTCATGTAAGAACCACACTCTTAGGACAGCACAGTGTGCAAGCAGCAGCTGTTGCATTCCACCTCAATGAAATTGGGGACTTCTTGGTGGTGATGGTACAGGGTCTTGAAATGCAGCTCGGATTCATGTTGATCTTCCTGTCTCTCAAGCCTTTCCAGTGCTGGGATTATAGGCATGCACCACCACACCCAGTTTCAGTGGCCAGCACAGTGCACTTGGGGTTCCAGGGATCGAACTCAGGACCTTGTGCTTTGCTGGGCACTTAGACCACCGAGCTATCTCCCCAGCTCTGGGGACTTTTTTAGGAGCAAAGATCTCAAATTTGCATTCCATCATGCCATTCTGTTTGCTAGGTGGACTGCTACTCAGAAAGGGAGGATAAGAAAGGAATATAATTGTATGCAGGCTGCAGCCTACTTTGTCAGAGCACCACAAGTGTGTGGGGAACTGGAGTGAATTCCTTCATCCCTAGCTATCCCATGCTTTCACTAGACGCTGAGCTGGGGGCTACATCTGTGAATAAAACAGACTACGGCTTTCCTATTCCCTCTTAAGGTGAACAACGGTATTAGGATGAGGTCATCTCAGAGGTCTAAAGGACAGGAAGAAAGGGAAAGACAGCAGAAGGAGGGAGGATGGGTGGAGCACCCTAGCCACACCCAAAGCTGAGGTAGAGATGAGACCTAAAGGCTGAGGCCACCCCAGAAACAGCCATGAGGTAGAATTTCCATACAGGTCTTGGAAAGGTTCATTTGTTAGGGAACTTAATCCCCAAACTGTGGGAGCCACAATAAATAACTCCAGAATGAAGGTGCTGTAAAGACTAAGGCTGAGGCATGAACAGAGCTCAGGATAGAATATGGTCAGCCCACAAGTGAAGGTACTTGCCTATTTTTATTATAAAAATCTATAGGCCTGAAGGAGGGGAAGAACTGCTGCAAACCAGAGACTGGCCCAAGTTCAAGTCAAAGAGCAGGGAGAATGAGAATGTGGGCTCTGTAACTGTCTGAGTCAAAAGAGCAAAGGTTCCTGTTGGCTCATGATTTCAGAAGTTTCCCTGAGGTTTCTGGCCAAGGTCACTCAGCCCTGTTGCCTTTGAGCCTGCTGCCTTAGGGAGGGAAGCAATGGGTGAAGGAGTCTTCTCACTTCTTGGCAGCTGTGAAGCAAAAAGAGGAGAAGGGACCAGGGCTCAGTGTCAAGAGCACACTGCGGGGACCTGATTTCCTTGCAGTTGGCTCTACACCTTAAAGGTCCAGCCACCGCCCAGTGCTACCACAGAAGGAGGCCCAACCTTTGAGCACGTGAGTCTTGGAGGATATTTAAAATCGAAACTGTTACAGTGGCTTAAAAGTGGTTCTATAACACTAGACAGAAAATGAACAAAAATACAAAAATAGATGTGGCATGTATGGTGGTGGCTGAGCAAGGATCTCAGAGGTCGTTTCTTAGAAGACTCTTAAAGTTCTATGTCTTCCCTGCCTGGCCTCATCAAAGAAGTACAGAATGGTGGCCCTTTGTCTTTGATACCCTCTCCTCCCCCTCCCAGCAGCACTAATCTCACCAACAAGGAATTCTTAAGAGGCAGTAAAACTGCTGCTTGCCCACAGGTGTTAAGCCTGGGATCCTCTCTGGCCACTGCACGTGCACTGGAGGACCTACTAGTCGGCTCTGCATGTTCACTCAGCGGCTCCTGGGTGTCACCTCCTTCATGGGAGTCAGGTGTCAAGTTAGGTGTGGCATAGGAGCTGTGGAAATGGTTCCCAGCCTGTGGGGGACATGTTGGGAAGGAGAAGTCCTGGGGATCGTCAGCTCACATCAGGGATCGATTGGGCAGGCTTACTTGCTGTACAAAGGCATTCACAAAAGCCTTCCTTGTTCTTAATAGGATTGAGCATATTTTCAATAGTGGACCCAAAATTTTGTTTTGGGTCAGCTCTTTGGAAGCACAGGGAGGAAAACCGAGGTCCCAGTCACTATCTGGAGGGAAAGAAATAGAACCCGGCTAGCCAGGGCTCTGAGCCAAGCCAGTGTGAAGGCTGTCCTGGGAAGTTATTTTCTTGGCTGATTTGATTTCCTTATGTCACGCTCACAGCCACTCTTAAGAGTGGCTACATTTCGTCTGAAATAGGCTTTTTATATTTTTGGTTGTACTTTATCCTGTATTAATGCACAATCCTCTTATCTCCCTCAAAGGCCTCTCCCCTCCCCCTTGCTCTGAGTCACAAGTTCCTGTGATGCTATTTTGCTCTGGTGAGATAAGCTGCTCCAGCGTGGGAGGAGGGCTCACGCTCCTGAGGTTTTAGGGTTGTGTTGAACTTGGTCACTGATTCAGAATGTTTTGTTATAAGGAGTTATTTCCTCTTCAAGAACATCCACTCCAGAATTTATTGAGCGTCTACCATATTCCAGGCACCACACTAGGTGCAAGAAGTACAGTGAGCGAAACAATGGTAGCAGTTTAGGGAGAAAAGGACATTAAATAGGTTACTGTAGAGTTACTCAATTATGATTAATGTATGAGCTATAAAGTGTAACTACAAAAGTTATTAGTCTGGGGATCAGGGAAGTGACATCTGAGATGAACTCCTGAGGAATAAGAAAGACAGGGTAGGGAGGGAACCTGGCAAATATTCCATAGAGAAGGTACAGAGGGCCAAAGGCTCTGAGGAGCAGTCAGGGAGGTTAGAGAACAGAGACTGGAATGGCGACCAGGGTGAGGCTGATCCCATGGGTTGGGACTCTAGCCTGAGGGAAAGAAACAGTGACAAGGAGGGATTCAGAATAGATTCTCTTGCTGGAGTGTGGATAAGTGCTGCCGGAGTGCAGAGGTGTCCAGAGGGAGTACTGAGCGAGCAGGAGGTTAGCTGAGGTGAGAGGGAAGGAGGCAGACTCTGAAGATAAGCGAGGTATGTGGGGCACAGATGCCAGTCCCATTGGAAGGCACAAATATGAAGTTGGGTAAAGTCCTGCACAGCAGAGCAACATCGTGGTCAACAGTGGATCTCATATGATGTGCCATTAGATCATCACAGAAGTCAGAAATTATGGTCACTCAACAGACATAGCTGTCGTAAGTGTGTGCTCAGGTGTGTGGTGGTACTGGTGTAAACAAACCTGCCTGCTACATGTGTGTAGAGTCATAATGCATACAATCACGTGCAGCATATAACACTCGATAGTAAATGTCTATTACCAGTTATATTCACTATACACTTAACATTATTTTACAGTGCACTCTATTTATAAAAAAATGCTTAAATTAGTATGCTGTGTCGCAATCACAGCCTCATACACCTCACGCTTATGCATCTCGATTGCATCAAAAGGCCACACTGAGTGACTGACCTACTACCTGTACCACCTAGAAGAATACTCTATGATATTCACACAATGATGAAATTGCCTGGTAACCCAAGATCCAGAACTTATCCTTACTCTTAAGTGGTGTATGATTATAATTCCATACCAGAAAGAATCACCAAGATACAGCATTTAATGCTTATATTAAGATGACATCATTAACATCAAGGGTCATTTAAAAGATGAAGAAGAAGAGGAGGAGGAGGAGAACAAGAACAAGAAGAAGAGCAACAACTACAACAACAACAAATTCTCCCAGGTCAAGACTGAATCCTGTCCTAAGCACATTACATGTATTGAATTTAAGAAAGCACTCAAGACCTGTTCAGCTCATCAGAAATTAAAGAAATGCAAATTAGAGAAACACTGGACAACTGTCACACTGGCTCTTAGTTGCAGGGTGAACAAGCCAACTGCTGCCAGAGTTTGCACATTAAGAATGCTGTCACCTGGATGGTGGGGTGGTCTGCTAAGGTGGTCAAGCCAAGTGCACACAGACACCCCTGTGAGCTAGAAACCTGCTTCTGGGTTTGTGTCCCATGAAAGAGCAATGCAGGTCTACACAGGCACTGACTCATATGAGGGCCAGGGGCCACTGCAGTTGGGGGCACAGCAAGCAGTATGGTTGCATCTGGTAAACTGGAGATGTAAATCGTGGAGCACCACACAAGAGGCAGCGGGGAGAGACCAGTTGTACATGCAGCAATGTGAATGAAAACAAACAAAATGCACTGACATTGCCACTAGCAAAAATTTACAAAATAAAGATACACACACAAACCAACACTATCTTTCATAAGAATATGTATAGGGGTTGGGGAGATGGCTCAGTAGAATAAGTGTTTGCCTGGCAAGTGCAAGGGCCTGAGTTCAATCCCCAGTTCCGCCAAAAAAAAAAAAAAAAAAAAAAAAAAAAAAAGGAATATGTATAAACAAGAGAATATACAGCATACATTTTATAGTGATTGCCAATGGGGAGGGTAGTTGGGCGATTTTGAATGAATACCCAAAGGAATACAGACACACACTTAGGGACACTGACTAAAGATGACAATGAACCCTGAGGTGAGGACCCCAACAAGCTCATGGAGATCTTTAAAAATATATGGAGCCATTTAAAAAGTGTTAATCCAGTCCAAGATAACTTGGTGTGGGTGCTGTAGCCCACAGGGTGATGGCTTTCCTGTCATTAGCGCCTTAGTGGTAGGTTGCTCCGCACACATGGCCTGGGTTCTAGAAGCTTGGTCTCAGGCCCTTGGGCCAGCGGCTCCCAGCTAGCCCCCTTGTCTTGGCCAGGAGCCCTTCACCTGTGACTTGCACAACAGGTTGCTGACAGCCATATGTTGCACCGTAAGCCCATTAAATCAAAGCCATTAAAAAAAGATAAAAAGGCATTTTGAAGACTGAACCCAACCCGGGCAACAGCAAGAAACAGCTCCAATGTTCTTGAGACCAAGTAGCCTGTAGCTCAGACCACAGCATTTCAATGCCTTCCACCCCACGTCGCCCAAACTGTCCACGTGCAACACAGACAAGGAAACTACAGCCCGTTCTTGAAGCACAGCCAGAGGCAGAGCACATTGT